CTGGAAAATTCTGCCTGGGTTCCTTTCCGCTTATCAGCTCCGCTCAGCCCCGCGCACCAGTCCTACAACCTGCTATTAAATAACTCTCCAACTCCCCAACTTCATCTGGCCTGCTCCGAATACATCCCACGGTGGTCTCTCAAAGGGGGCAATTATTTCCGCCAACAACAACGGTATCGTTTTACGTCTGCCGACTTACGCAGGTCTTCCGCTGAGGGAGAGACTTCAAGCCTTCGATTCCTCGAAGGGGATACCCTTTCTGCAGCGCCCTGTCTAGTCGCTTGCTGCTCGGATCTGCAGCCCACCCCGGAGGCAGGAAGGTCTGGCCTGTCACGGCTGCTGGGATGCGGTCGGAGGGGAAGAAGCTGACGAAGCGCGTTACGCCGCCAGCCGCGCGGCCAGGGCTCCCTGGGTTCGCTGCCGGCGTGGCAGCGGCAGCACCTGTGCAGGCGTGCCCTGTTTTTCCCAACCCTCCTGTGTTGGTGGGGGCCCTCATTCTTGACTCCGCAGCGACGCAGGCCCCACTCCTCCCGCCTCCCTGTCCCCCCGCGCAGCCTTCGCTTCTTTCTCCTCCATCTCCTCCTCTTTCTCCTCACTCTTCCTCCTCCCCTTTCAAATCCGCGCCGATTTCGGCACACCCTTTACACAGTTCGTGCCCCACATGCACCTCCACCTACGGCACCAGCGAGGGCGCCCGCACGACGTACCCCTGCACATTTTTTGACACACCCCTCACACGCTTCGTGCCCCAGCGGGAGCTCCACCTACGGCACCAATGAGGAAGTTCGTACGGCGCCCCCCCACGCTGGTTTCGGCACTTTGGCACACGGATCGTGCCCCAGAGGGAGCTCTACCTACGGCACCAGTGAGGGCGCCTGGATAGCGACCCCCCGCCAGTTTCGGCACACCCCTCATACGTTTCCTGCTCCAGAGGGAGCTGCACCTACGGCACCAGTGAAGGTGTTCGTACGACGCCTCCCCGCCCATGTCGGCACACCCCTCACATGGATCGTGCCCTATAGAGAGCTCCACCTACGGCACCAAAAGCTCCACCTAAGGCACCAGTGAGAGCGCGTGGGTAGCGTCCCCCCGTCGACTTTGGCACACCACTTGAGCGGATCGTGCCCCGCAAGGAGCTTCACACACGACACCAATGAGGGCGCCCGTATCGCGTCCCCCCGCCCATGTCTGCACACCCTTCGGACGTTTTGCGCCGAACGTTGAGTTCAGTATGCTTCTGCACGCTAACTCCGCAACCACCTATACACACTGCCCTGCGGCGTGCTATATAGGAGCCAAGGCCCACCCCTTCGTTACACGCAGCCGCACTGGGTCGGGTCATTCTTCAAACTACTTGTTTCACATGTTCGAACTCATGAGCGAAAACGAAGGAGAGGGTGTAACGAAGAAGCTGAGTAAAGGCCGTCGAATGACACACGGGGAGAAGGGGGAGGCGGCGTGGTTGGGTTCGATACGTAAGATACTGTAGGAGGCTGTTATGGAAGCCAGATGCGTCACCAGCCCATGGTGCAAAGCTGAATGATACCTCCTTTCTCCCAACACACATCTCGATAGGATATCGGAATCGGGCAGCATGCCATATTGTAGGAAGGCCTAAGAAACCAAATGTACAGACGTCGAACAGCAAGACAAACAATATGCAGACACCGACAGCGGAACAGTATCCGTGCAGCGGCCAAATCTTTGCGCGCACGTTTGTTTTGCTGACGCTTGGCTGTCCGGCTGCTCTCTCGGCGGTCATTGCGTTCTCGCGTCTGCGGTTCCTTCGTCGTGGTTGACCCAAACTCGCTTCTGACGTGAACCCCCGCTGCTCCCACGGGATTTACATCCCTACCCTGTTTGGAAATTCCTGTACAGCCACTGTCTACCACATGGTCGAGCCCAGGACTGGAATGTCGACAGTATCGGCGGGCACAAAACATAGGTGATCACCACCGAAGGGAGCGCGTGAGCTATTTCTCGATCCATGGATCCCCCCCCCGAGGTCAACAACTTCACGAGACATCGCGGCTGGAACTGCACGCAAGCCCCATCTTCCTGCGGCGTGTCTCGGCACGGGTCGATCTGTGACTGGCCCGTGGCCTGGGTCGGGGAGAAAACGCCAAGCGTGCTCCTCCCTCTGGCCGGCTCAGGTGCCGTGCTGAACTCGGACCCCATGCGGGCGCTCGGACTGCTTCTGGGCTCCCGGGGAAGCGCCTCTCGACCTGGCGCAGCCCGTAGAAAACGCCATGGCCTCCTCCTCCTCCTCTCCTCCTCCTCCTCCTCCTCCTCCTCCTCCTCCTCCTCCTCCTCCTCCTCCTCTTTCCCCGATCATCCAAACAGCTTGGGGGCCTCTCCGGGCATGGGGAAACCTTTGAAGCGTTGTCCGTTCCCAGGCATCCGATGCCATGTTTTTTTGTTTTTTGTTTTTCCATCCGGCCCCCCCGAAGTCCCGACCCCTTCGCCAAGGCCAGCTTGCCGTCCCGCGCCGTTTTCTGCTGGTCCCGGGGCCCGGCGAGGGCCCCCCGAGGCCGAAGACGATGAAAGAGCTCCGCCCAGGTTGGGGATTCCCAGAGGTACTGATACTGCTACTCCGCGGCCCTCTCCCAGGGTACGCTCTGACCAAAACTTCGAGGCGAATCCAGCGGCTGCGACGAAGGCCTCCCAGGAGGCCCCAGAAATGAAAGACGAGGGACGTGTAGCGGTGTGAGTACCTTGCCCTCCTCCGATAGCTCTGTTCAAGACGTCGGATGTCTGGGCCAGCACCTCTTTGGACCTAGAGGAGCCTCGGATCCTCACCTGCGCGCGGGCCCAAACCATCGGAGTCGGCGCTGCCCGCAGGGGCGAGAGCGGTGCACACGGCACGAGCGGTTGGGGCCCCCTCTGGGTCCCCAGCGCTGGCCGAGGCCGCGGGGCGGTCGCCCGGAACGCCGACCGCGGCACGCCGCGTCGTTCTACACAGGCTGAAGTTTCGGCCTGCGCCCACGCCTCCGCCTCCTCCTCCTCCTCCTCCTCCTCCTCCTCCTCCTCCTCCTCCTCCTCCTCCTCCTCCTCCTCCTCCTCCTCCTCCCCCTCCTCCTCCTCCCCCTCCTCCTCCCCCTCCTCCACTTCCTCCCCGCCCCCCCCTTCCTCGTCCCCTGCCTCCTCGTGCGCCCACGCGGCCACCTTCTGAGGGGAAGGGCGTCTGCACGTCCCATCCGCGGGGCTCGAAATTTCGACATAATGTGCAGTCGGCCCGTAATATCAGGACGCACGAGAAGTATGCAGGGGCCTTGGAAGGCCATGTCGGCACTCTGCGAGCGGGGCGCGGCCAGCGAAGGTGGCCGAGGATGGATCGAGGAGGCAAGGATGCAGGGGTGCCCTTGGGAAGGTTGCCCATCCTTACAGTGCGGTTGCCTGCAATGTAACCATCGCGCTGGCACAAGGGGACGCCGAAGAAGGAACGAAGGGGCTGTCCTGGCCAAGGCGAGCCGCGGCCACGCGTAGGCTCCCTGGCCCAGATCTCAGGATCGGCCCGGAAACCAGAGGCCCTCCTGAGCGCAAGTGGTACTCATCTTGACGCCTTCACTGCAATCGAGACCCAGCTAGGGGCGAAGGCCCCTGGAGGCCGTCTGCGACGGAAAACCTCCGCCCATATTCTTCAACACGTTTCCGGGTCGCCAGCGGACAAATCGGCATGCGAGCGGGGGGCGGAGGATGAGGAGGGGGACGGAGGAGGAGGAGAAGGAGAACCGGTGCAAGCTCAAGACTCATCAACGATGCTGCAATACACACTCCCTCCGAATTCCCTCTTCATAAACCCCTGCAAAGATTTACTTGCACAACGGAAGCTGCCCTGGTGGAATAAAACCGTTTGAAAATCCGAACATTGCCAAAACGCCATTCCTGGGATTTCAACGCCGCAAATCAACGCTACTGTTGCGTCCTGACGGCCCTGACTCGTGCCAGAACGCCATTCCTGGGATTCCAACGCCGCGAATCAACGCTACTGTTACGCCCTGGAGGTCCTGAATCGTGCCACAACACCATTCTTGGGACTTCAACACCGCGAATCAACGTGACTGTTGCGCCCTGACAGTCCGACATCGTGCCCAAACAATGTTTTTGGGACGCTCGCCATCATAATCCTTGAGCCTGACGTGAACTCTTAAGACGAATGTGCGCTGCGCTAAGGAGAAAACCGCATCCTGAAAACATCCGCCATCCATCCGTGAAGCTCTTGCGACAACCACTTCTGAAAGCACCCGCTTTCCATCCTTGAAGCTCTTGCGATATTTTGAAACGAACGTGCGCGGCGCTAAGGCGAGAACCGCATGTTGCAAACTGCCCGCCCTCCATCCGTGAACTTACTGCAAACTTTTGAAAAGAATGTGCGCGGCGCTCAGGCGAGAGCCATCTTTCATCCGTGAAGTTGCCGCATTTTACCAACTTCGGGATGGCAAACGGTGTTGAAATCCCAAGTAGTGAAACGCCCGTCCAGCCTTACTGACGCGTCTCGGGGTGCGACAGGGATAATTCGTATGTGAAGAAGGATGGCGTGGAGTTGGCGCCACGACGATGTCATCTCTGATGCTACGACATACGTGCCCTGAGCTCGCGGAGACACGAGACGACGTGGATGAACACGTGCACGCACTGGGAGAATAACTCAACAAAATACCATGACTGACGAACACAATCTCCCAGAACAAAGCGAATGTGAGAACTCACGGTCCAACCAGGAAATACTGAAAGCAGCCCAGCGCTCAGATGGAAGCCACCACCAAGCCACAGACATTGTGAAAATTCACGGCCCACCACTCGGGAGCAGCATTGACGTAAGACTTAGGCGAAGCCCTTCGCCTCATTGGACGAACCTCATGTTCCTCGGTACTTTTCCGCACGTGGAATATGTCTCCAGCGCGTGAAAAATTGAATGCCCCCGCCCGTGGTGTACAACGCAAACGCGGAGAAACTGAAACCATTGTTCATCAAGACGCTCTGCACGATGAACGGGGGAATTACGACATAGATGACAAGAGCACACGGCTGGCCCAATGCGGCGCTGTACCTCAGAACGCGCCGACGGGCCGCGGAGACAATACGATGTAAGCCCAAGCTGGCACGCTAGCCCACTACGGCATGATAGGTGACAGCATGCGGGACCGCGTTTTGCTCCAGCCAAAGACCTGCCTGCTGCCACCGTTCTCCCTTCTCGCACGTGCTGGCCTAAGCTTTGTAGCGGATGGGGAGCGGCTCGCGCGGCGCCTTGCCATCTCGCCCAACAGCGGCTTTCCACTGCTTCTGTCCGCCCTTCCCGCACTTGCTGATCGAGCATTGTAGCTGATGACAATCGGGCCAAGCTTCTGTTCCCACATCACTTTCGGCAACGGCCGAGCAGTCCAAATCTGCTCGCCCTTCTTGCATGCGACAAAACCAGCACTGTATTGAATGAGGTCGGGACTCGGTGCCCACAGCCAAGCTCCCTGCTGCCACTGCCCGACCTTCTCGCACGTACCGCGCATGAGCGTTTCACCGGATTCTCCACGATACCCGATAAACTAGGCTCGCTGGCCTGGGCGACGGGTGCCACTCAAGTGCCATGGTAAGGCATCGAAGAACGACTGAAGGCCTACCCGGTGGAGTCACAACCACAACGGAAGCCCTCGAGCGGCATGTGCTTGAGAAGAGGGATGGAGGAAGAGGAGGAGGAGGAGCAGGAGGAGAAGCAGGAGGAGCAGTAGCAGGAGGAGCAGGAGATGGAGCAGGAGCAGGAGCAGGAGCAGGAGGAGGAGGAGGAGGAGGAGGAGGAGGAGGAGGAGGAGGAGGAGGAGGAGGAGGAGGAGGAGAGGAGAAGAGGAGAAGAGGGAGCGTGGATCGGGATTTGAGGCTTCTTGGGCGCTCTGCGCCCTGGAAGGCTTCGTGGGCGAGCCCCGCGGCCGCGCGCCTGGAGAAACCGCGGCGGGGCTGCCGGAGGGCTCCCGCGACTGCTGGGCGCTGCCGGCGCGGCTGCTGGAGGCCGCCGCCGCAGAGGCCGCGGGCGAGGCCGCCGCGGAGGCCGCGGGCGAGGCGGCGGTGGGGCTGCTGGAGGCGGCCGCGCCGGCCGCGGCTTCTGGGGCGAGCGGCGACGACGACAAGCGACGGGGACGACGACGACGACGACGACGACGACGACGGGGACGGGGACGACGACGAGCGACGACAACGAGCGACGACGAGCGTCGACGAGCGACGACGACGACGACGAGGAGCGACGACGACTGCCGCCGAGGTCACCGCCGCCGGAGCGAGGCCTTTGACGGCTTCCGCCAGAGCGAGGTCTCCGAAATGGGATCCGGATATATGGGGTCGGAAGATCGCGCCGCATCGCCGATGCATCGCCGATGTGTCGGCGATGCAGCGGCGACGTCGGCGATGCATCGGCGACGCTGGCGCTGAGAGTCGGGCTCTACACAGAGCCGCGTCGCCGATGCATCGGCGATGCGGTCCGATCTTCCGACCCCATCTACTCGGACCCCATCTGGGAAGCCTAGGGTTTAGGCCCCCCCCCTGGGAGGTTTTGGGAGCGATGAAGTTTTCTGGTTAAACCGAATGAAAGCGCCACTGAACTGGATCAGGCCCAAATTCAGCCTGGGATTGGGCCGGTTTGAGCGGGAGTAAACGGAACTGAGCAGGACTATGCCAGATTCGGCATGTTTTCGCATCTGGATATGCCAGCGCCGATGCGGACCTCGACCTCACAGGAGTGGCATAATAAGGGAGGGGAAGGGACGGAAGAGGAAAGGTCGAGGGGAACTGAAGAAGGGTGTGTGCAGCCCCCCCATCCATGGGGCTTCGTTCCCTCCCGTGCACCACCAGCTCGGGAGTCAGGCTTAGGTCGGGCATGTCCCCCTACAGGCGGAGTTTGGACGACAATTTTTTTAACATGCACCAGGAATACCCAAACATAGTCCAGACATGCTAGAAACATCGTCCCCGGACTATTTCTTTCACTGCTTTCGAGTCTTCCTCCTGTAGAGGGACAGGCCCGACTTAAATCTAGGCGCCTGGGGCGTTGGAGGAGGACTGGCGCCTTCACCACCCACCGGGAGGCTCCCCCTGGAGGCCTGGCCTCCCTGCTTCGGGTGCGCCCCGCTCGAGGGGCACCTCCTCTTTCAGGCCAGGGGGAACATCGTGGACCCCCATTGCTGGAGGCGGATATCTGGTGGTGACGACGCTTCTCCGCGCTCCGGAGCCAGGTGACGTTCTTCGGCGTTTCGACATTGGGCGGAAAGGGAGGGGGGGGAGGGGGGGTCTGGCTCTGGTCCTCTGCTTAGCGTGGCTGTTTGGAGCAGTGCGTCCTGTGAGGGGAGGCTCCACCTGTCTGAAACAGGCGCCCAAAACAGCCGAGATCTACTCGGAGGGGGTGCGAGGGCCCGCGCCGATCGGCAGAACAATGAATAACAAAAACGATCACCAGGTGTTGCAGCCAACGCCCACGGTAAAAGCGCCGGTGTCGGGAGGCGCTGCCCTCGGGCGACTGGGCTCCTGCCATCGCTCGGACGTCCACTCCTCGTGCATTTTTCGAATTCGGTGCGTGTTTTTTTCTTTTTGCCCGATTATCCAGGATGCTCCTCGAGGGTCCTCGCCTCCCCCCCCCCCCCCAAAAATGAACACGTCCGAGCGATGCCAAGGGCTGCAACGGCCTAATTATTGGAGCCCCCCCTCCCCTCCTCCTCCTCCTCCTCCTCCTCCTCCTCCCCCTCCTCCCTCCTCCTCCTCCTCCTCCTCCTCCTCCTCCCTCCTCCTCCTCCTCCTCCTCCTCCTCCTCCTCCTCCTCCTCTTCCTCCCAGGGGCTGGCGTGCAGTCACCGTGCACGCCGCCCCTGGACCTCCACATGCCGCGCCCCCTCTGCGCGGCGGGCGGCGGCCGCGCAGGGGGCGCGGGAAGGGCGGAGGTCGAGGAGCACAGCAGGGGGGCATAGCAGGGGGGCAGGCGGGCAACAGGCAGGGCCCTCGGGGACTCCACGCGGAAGCGACTCCGGCGGCGCACGGCCCCAGGGGGGGGGGGCGGGTGGGGGGAGGGGCGCGGGCGGCCGTGGGAGGCTCCCGAGCCCATCAGGGATCAGGGATCGGGGTGCAGGGTTTAGGGTTTAAATTGTCTGGTTTAGGGTTTAGGGTTATGGTTTGGTTTAAGGTTTCGGGTCAGGGGGGAGGGGCGAGTGAAAGGATGGCCTTGCTGGGACTCTCCGTGCCCTTGCTGTGCATGTCTGCCGCAGCAGAGACGACGGGTGGAGGGAAGGAGAGAGGGGAGGAGGGACGGAACGCAGAAAGGATCTGCAGTTGGGTTTGCCGTCGCTGGGATCTTCCAGACATGAGTCTGTAATCGAATATCAGCGATCGGGACGACTAGGCGCCGTTGGAACTTCGATGCAAGCGCAGGCGCGTGTTGGCTTTTTTTCTCTTGGACGCGCTTCCAAGCTCCCACGTACAGGCAAAGATCACGTACGATCCGCTCCAGTGAGAATGTCCAGAAGGCTGGTTCGCCATTACCTGTGGTTGCAAACCTTTGGTTGGTATTGTCATGGGCAGGAGCATCCCAAATTGCACGCGTGATTCCTAGATGTTTGCACGAATGTGTAATCGCTTGGGGACATTGTTCGCCAGAAGGCGCTCGCCCCACCAAGTTCACCGGGATCCTGTGGTGTGGAAACGGCGGGCTTTCAACGTCAAAGATGCCAGCCTTGAGAATCACACCCAAGAGGTATGGAAAACGTGTCGGAACATTTTCCCACTGCTTTCTGGGCGCCAGCTTCGGGGCGCGAATCTGGGGGTGCGCTGCGACTGAAGCCGTAGAACAAAAATGAGAACTCGGATTGTGCATGGGTCCCCGAAACTCACTGGCCAGATGCGGGTGCTAGGGCCTCCCAGTCCATAGCCGTGGCTGGCTGCCCCCATGAAGACGCAATGACGCCCTTAAGCCGAAGCTCCCGTCCGAGAAGAATGCGTAGATCACATGACGTTCGTGGTTTGAGCGCTTCACTCCTTTCACTGTCACGTTCGGCTGGCCAAGCATGGCCTTAATTCGCGCAGAAGAAGTAATACCACAAAAAAGACACATCCGCCGACCCCTTGTGGGTCTCTAGGCGTGTGAGATTCTTCCCCCCGTAATCGGGGATCTTCTGACCCAAGTCAATCCAACCCCGGGTCTGCAGGAAACCAAGAACTACAATGCAAGAAAAAACTGCAACGCAGAACTTCGCAAACCCGGGTCAGCCAATATGCGTGGCCGCCTCGCGGCCACGAGCGGCTCGCTAACCCGGGTCAGCCAGAATGGGTCTTCGCAGGATCCTGCAAGATCCGGTGCCCTGGCTGACCCCCGTTTGCATCGATCCCCGTCTCTTGAGCCCCGACATAAGACCCCACCTGGGCCCCAAACCGGCAATTTGACCCTGCCCCCCCCCTCGCCCAGGACGACCCACCGCCGAACGCGCCATGGGGGAACAGAAGGCCCCCAAACGAGCCAAGAGGGGGGCACCAAAACGCCTCCCTGACCGTCCAAGAGATCGCCGAAATATCCTTCCAAGACGCCCGCGACGGCTTCCAGACACCCCCCGAAACCCCCAAAACGACCCAAGAGGCCCCCAAGAGGCGTCCCAAGCGAGCCCCAAAAAACAAAAACCGTCTGTTTCCCTTGTAAAACGTTCATCTATACCATATTGGCCTCTCGCGGTTTCGCAACGTCCGACACGGGTCATGAAGCCTTCCATATCCTCCCAGGACGGCCTCGGCTGCTGAGAGAGGTCCAAAAGAGTCCAGAAACGGCCCGAGAAACGCCCAAAACGGCCCAAGAGGCCATCAAGACGGCTCCAAGAGGGAGCCCGGAGGGCAACTTTTTGGTCCTTTGGCTCCGAGATTCCCTCATTCTGCTGGAAGAACCTCCCAAGAAGGTCCTCAGGAACCCTAAGCGAGGCCCAAAAGGTTCCCAACAGGCCCCCGGACAATCCCCAAGAGGCCCATTCACTACCTCCAAGACGCCCCCTTGACGCCTCAAGGCCCGATCGTGACTCCTCCTCCTCCTCCTCCTCCTCCTCCTCCTCCTTTTCTTTGACTCCCCTTCTGCCTCTCCCCCGTCTTTCCCCTGCTGCTCCTTCCCCTCCTCCGCTTTGACCTTCTTTGCGTTCCTCTTTTCATCGGCTTCGTTCTCCCTCTCGCTCGCACTCGCGCTGCTCCTACTTCTACATGGCACGGGCGCCCTGCTGGTATCATTTGCATGCCTTGCATTTCAAGGTGCCCTTCTTCTCGTCACGCGCGATATGGCTCGCGTCCACAGGGTAAGCCGACTTCGGCAATTTTCTCTGGCGCTTGCCACTGCGCTGAAAAAACCTGCCAACTGCGAACCGTGAGCCCGTCGGCTATGCAATCTGCGCGTGCAACTCTAGTCACTCTCGTGAAGTACTCGCTCTCCTGTTTGGCGCTGATCTGGTCCTGCAGAGCGAGCTGGTTCTTGCGCGTTGCGCACGTCAACAGTCGCTTCAACCGCTTCGACTCATCGGCCACGCCCTTCGCGGTGATGCCCCGATTATGACAGCTTTCGCACATCACTCTTGCTCCTTTCTTTGTCCGGTGGTCCTCCAGTTGGTTGCGGTTCAAATGGCCGAACCCCCATGCAGACACCCCGCAACCGGGCGCGCCGTGCGTCAGCGGCTCCGCTTCCGCCCCCGCTTTCCGTTTGTGATTCCCTGCTGCGTAATTTGTCCACAGCGCCACCTTCTCCCGCTTCTCCGCGCACTTCCGGCGCAACCTCTCCCCCGCTGCGTTGTGCTTCTTCTGAGCTTCCGACATATCCGCCTCCTCGTCGTGCAACGACAGGCACTTGTCGCTCGAACATCGCACTGTGCCGACGCTCTCGTTCCACTTCAGGTTGCCGCTCCGCGACTTTTGCTTGGCTTTGTCATGGCTGCACTTCGCGCAATACATTGTCCGAATCCTTTTTGCCTACCCCTCGTCCGCCGCTGCATCCCCGCTCCGACCGCTGACATCTCCCGTGCGTTCTTTGGAAAACGCTGGTCTCTCCTTCCTCTTGAACTCGTACTTCGTGAACGCCTCTACCAGCAACCTCCGCCAGCAGCGCTCGCACTGGTCTCGGGGCGATAGTTCCGCCTCCCAGTCGTCCCAGTCCACGCCCTCCCCTCGTAGCACCTGCAACTGCTTTGTCGTGCCAGCCGTCTCACCTTCGTTGTGCGGTTTCCGATCAAAGGGCCGGAACATGAAACAGTTTTCTTGCCTGCGCACGCGCGTAACTCAGTTAAGGGATCGGCGGGTGTGGCGTAAGCCTATAGAGTATGATCCATATTAGAACAATGAGAAGAAGAAGGACGGGGATAACTAAATAACACGCACAATTGCGAAACTCTTCTAGACAACCTGCGAACCTCTCTCTGCAAAGAGAAGAGCGGCCTGGCAACGGCTGGAGTGGATCTGTGCCCACTGCTTAAGGGAAAGCGCCGCTCATCGATCGCCGTGCAGGGGGAGTCTTCTGGCACGACGACGAGAAGGATCAGGATCGGTGCAGCTGCACTAACGTGGGAGCTCACACCCCTGCGTAGGCCAACCTGGTTCACATGACCAAGTGAAAAATCGAGGTCTGCATGGCCCTGCGTCGTCGGCCGCGATGCCGCGGTCTGCTTCAGGCTGGCGGTCGCTGCTCTCAAGCGCAGCACCCTCCATATTGGTGACTTGTGGAGGCTGAAGCTGGAACTGCACATCACTACTAATTCATGCCCATCGCGAGCTTGCTTGTCGACTCCTCATTCCCGGCGGCATACACTGGGGGGGATACTGGCGAATACTTGTCAATATGATCTTAAGGGCATGTTCAGTTCTGCGTGCGTACGCGGTTGCCGTCATCTTCACCAATTTCCTGGACTTCTTACTTTGTGGTTGGCCACCCGACGCCCGCGACCAAGCGTGGCTCGCCGCCGGACCCGTCGGACACGTCGGTGCGATGACATTCCGTACCGTCGCGGCCCGAGCAAAGCTTGTCTGCGAGAGGGCGGGGTGGCGTTCACGTTCCGCTTGTTGGAGAGAGCGTGATCCACCGCCGCTTTACTATGGAAAATTGCCAACCTTTTCCTCCGGAGCCCGGGGGTCGCCCCCCCCCCCCCCCTCCGAAAATCCCCCCCCCCCCCTGCTGGAACCCCTCCCCCCCCCCCCCCCCCCCCTCCCCTAACCCCCCCCCCTCCCCGGGGGGGTCACTACCAACCCCCCGGTCAAATCCGGAAAACCGGGGGGGTCACTACCGGTTCGAACCCCCCCCTCCCCTCGAAAACCGGAGGGGGATCACTACCGGTTCGAACCCCTCCCCACCCCCCCACTCACCGCCAGCAAACGACTCCCGGTCCCTACCACCGTCCGCATCACATCCTCCACTGTTGTTCCCAGCACCACTGTCCTCACCACCGCTGTCCCCACTGTGTCCCCACCAGTGCCCCCACCACTGTCGCACTGTCCCCACTGTCCCCACCACTGTTCCCACCACGGTTCCACTCTCCCCACTGTCTCCACGGCCCCAACCACTGCCCGACTATCCCCACTGTCCCCACTGTCCCACTGACTCCGCCGCTGTCCCACTGAGCTGTCCCACTGTTCCCACCACTGTCCCCACTGTCCCCACCACTGTCCCCACTGTACCTCTGTCCCATTGTCCCACCGCCGTCCTCGCCACCGCCTTCACCACTGTCCCCACCACCATTGTACCCTCCACTGTCCCACTGTTTCCACCTCATTCCCACTGTGCCCACACCACTGTCCCCACCACCACCGTCCCCACCACTGTCCACTGTCCCCCCTGTTCCCACCATTGTCCCCACCACTGTCCCCACCACTACCGGCCCCTACTACTGTCCCACTGTCCCCACCACTGTCCCGCTGTCCCCTCACCACTGTCCCACCAACACCGTCCCCACCTCTGTCCGCACCCCCACTCGGTTTTCGAGGGGGGGGGGGGTTCGAACCGGTAGTGACCCCCCCCCCTTTTCATGATGAGCTGGGGGGGGGGTGGGGAGGGGTTCGAACCGGTAGTGACCCCCCCGGTTTTCCAGAGAGGGGGGGCGGGGGGGGAGGGGTTCGAACCGGTAGTGACCCCCCCCGGTTTTCCGCCAGCAGCGGTAGAACACGCTCTTTCGCTTGTTGCTTTGGCCTCTTCGCTCTTCGCGCTGCGCGAAGCGCGGTCATCTCCGCGCTCTCGCTCCGCCCCCCTGGTGGGAAGCAGCATGTTGGCACAGACCGTGAAGGTACGGCGCGTGGTCACCTTCACGCCCTGCGGATGACCCAGGCGCTCCGCTTTTGTACACCTCGTTGCCCGCACGTCGTCCGACGGGTCGTTCGGCGGCGCGCTGCTCAGCAAAGACTGCCGCCGCGCCGCGACTCGCGGCCGCAGCGGCGGCATGCACGCCCCGCCACTCCACCTCCTGGCCCCGACCCCGCTAGTCCTGCCTCGCCGTGTGCCCGCGGGCCTGCCCGGTTGTGGATAAGCATCCCGCATGGCCGCCCGCCCGCTGGTGCAGTTCCAGACGGCAGGATTCGATACCATTTGCCACACGGATCAGTGAAGGGCCTTTCGGCTGGCTTAGGGCCTGCGAGGAGAGTTGGCGCTGGTGCCGAGAAATTCCATCAGCGTGCAGGGGCGCAGTCAGGTGACGCTGTACTGTTGCCAGAGCGTTGTGACGACAGTATTTCAGAGCTTGAACTTGGCCGCTAACCCGTGCCCGTCTTAGGGCGAAACGGTCTGCTAGAGGAACCGATGTAGTACCTATGAGCGCTTTACGTCGACGAATCGATGGGTGCGACGTTGCGCTTCGAGAACTCGTTTCTGGAACGGATTTGGCGATCACTGTTCTATAGCTTGGACTTGCAGCATCTAGCATTTGCACTCCTAGAGACCAACATTCGTGGCAATCCGTTTCGGTCGTGAGCAATCTTTGAGCATGTGGGCGTCTCAACGCCGCTCTTTACTACCCCTCCCTGGCGCTGCGACCACGGACGCGCCAAACTGGTTTCCTCCGTATGTGCTCGAGAGAGGAAGCATGGAGGAGGAGGGTGTCAGCAGGGAGAACGACTGGAAGAGCAGCGATGGGGGAGGAGGGGAAAAGGCGGAGGAGTAGAGGAGAGCCGAAGAGGATCAAGAGAAGGCTAGACGCAGCTGCGCACCTACACGGGTCCTCGCCAGACTTGCTTGGGCCCAGCATTGGAGTAGGTGTGCACCGATCCTGGGCCTGGTACAGGCCTGGCCAGCATTGGCGTTGGTGTATAGCTCGCGCCACCCTGCAGGGGGGGCGCATGTGGATATCATGGCCAGGACCAGGGAATCTCCTAGAATTCGTGGCGCCCTATTCTTCATTCCAATGCGCTTCCTGGCCGGATGGGAATGGGGAGGCGAGGGGAAGGGGGAACGGGAGGAGGAGGGCAGGGGCAAGGAGAGGCGCGGCAGGCAGAGGAGCAGCAGCGGGCAAGAGAAGGGCAGGCAGGAGATGACTGCGATCCGCGCCGGTGCAGGAGGAGTGCGCTTGCGGCTGCACAGCGCTCGCCAGAGCGCCTCGCTCCTCCGCCCCCCACCCGGTCCCCCTCGCGCTCTCCTGCCGCAGTCAGTAGTCCTCTTCCCCGTCGAAGGCATCGTAGCCCCACTGCTCCGAGGCTGCCACCTTCCTGGCTTCCCGGGGCTGCGCCTGTGCTCCCGCGGTGGCGCCGAGCGACGCCAGGTAGGCCTCCACCTCCGAGTGCCCGGCCGCGGCAGCACTGTCCAGCGGGGAGCCCCAGTCCTCGGCTGCCACCCCGACGTCGGCACCTGCTTCGACGAGCGCCCGCACAACGTCCAGCACGCCCTTGTCGGCGGCCAGAATCAGGGGTGTGACGCCATCGTCGTTGCCCTCGTTGGCGTCTGCCCTTGCGCCCAGCAGGACCCTGACGGCTTCTTGGCTGCCACCGCTCACCGCATGAATGAGCACTGAGCTGCCGTCGTCGGTGCGCGGCTCCAAAGATGCGCGACGCTCCAAGAGGAGGCTCACCACCTCAGCGCGGCCACCGCGCGCGGCTATGATCAACGGCGTGCTGCCGTCATAGGCCAAGTATGCATCAGGTCCCACTCCCCCGTCAAGGAGGGCTCGAACCTCATCCACTTTGCCCCTTCGAGAATACTCGTAGAGCGCCTCGGCATTCGGGTCTTCCATGGCTCAACGACAAGGTCAACATAAAAGCCAGCACTGGCTTGGGCTGAACTGGCTACGGAGGCGTGGTGATGATGGGGAGGATGAGTACTAGACCGACGGTGGGCGGTTGAGTGGGAACTCGGTGTGTGTGTGTGTGTGTGTGTGTGTGTGTGTGTGGTGTGCGTGCGTGGTGTGCGTGCGTGCGTGCGTGCGTTGCGTTGCGTTGCGTTGCGTTGCGTTGCGTTGCGTGCGTGCGTGCGTGCGTGCGTGCGTGCGTGCGTGTGTGTGTGTGTGTGTGTGTGCATATTTTCTGAGATTGCGTCCCTGTCCCTCCACCTCCTCCCTCGCCACCCTCTCGCCGCCCGCACAGCCCGCGCTCCCTGCGTCCCTCCGCCGCGCGGGCTCCTCCGGAGGGGTCCTGAGGCTGACTTCATGAGGACCGCCCAGACCACCGGTCTGGGACGTATCTCCCCGCTGCTCTGATCATTCCCCGTTTCCGCCGTCAGTGGGGGCAACTGGGGGCCTCATTTCCTCGCGCGCTGGAGGTCAGGTTGACGTGGATTCACAAGAAGACTCCCTCGGACAAGTGCTAAGAGAAGGCAATGTGGTCGCATATCGCCTTCACCAGCCAACGGCAGGCATGCAAGTGAATTTGACCACCAGAGATCCAGCCCATATGGGGAAATCAGAAGCACATTGCGCGCACTTCGGTGAAGCATTCCAAGACAATTGGGCAGCAAGGGGTCTCAACAGAAACTCACGCCAGCCCTTTGAGCTCAGGTGGTCTAGCGATACCCTTCTTTCGTCTTCCAAGACGCTCATCCGTTCTGGGAGGGGTGCCTTACCCCTCCCCTTCCTGAAGTTTTGTTGGCGGGGGCCGCGAGGTGGCATATGTTTTTTCTTTATATACCGAAAACGGGTTCAAGAAAGCCTCCGATACTCGAGAATGGCATCAAGATCGCCGTATCTGATCTGGTTCAACGTAGCTCTGACATGCCTCCAATAGGCCCGACGAGGGCCACAAGACGGTTTCAAGTGCTCTCGGAGCCCCCTCAGCACCCCCCCCCAAGAGGCCCAAATCCTTCAAACACCCAAGGCAAATCAGTGGTTTGTGCCTTCTCGCCTTTTCGCTTCCGGTACGCGTTTGAAGCTTTAAGGTCGCCCAATAGAGGTCCACGCAGGCGGCCCCAAGAGCGCCCAAGGGCGGCCCCAAAACGCGATTTAGAGAGCCAGCAAAAGGGGGGGGCTAGGTAAAGGACCCCCCCCTTTTGATCGATGGCCTCCAAGATGGCCTCAAGAGGCCTCCAGGGCTTCCAAAGGACTTCCAAAAAGAGCGCCCCGCGAGGGCCCAAAGAGACGGTTTGTCTCCTCCTCCTGCTCCTGCTCCTCCTCCTTTCTCCTCCTTCTCTCCTCCTGCTCCTCCTCCTTCTCCTCCTCCTCCTCTCGCGGGCCCCAAGGATGGCCCGAAGAGGCCCTCCAAATCCACCCCCTTGCTCCCAGAGATCTCTCTGTTCATCCTGGTTGTCGCGTTGCTCCGCTATATGTTTCTTTGTCCATGTTCCCGTCAGCTCTCATGGGCAACGCTTCGGAACGGGCTGGTGTTTTTTTTTGGGGGGGGGGGGGCCCGGCTGCGGCGAGCGCGCCAGCAGCATCGGTAGAGCCGCTCGGGCCGCGGGCGCCCTAATTGCCAGCGCGCGCGCGCCGAGCAGGCTAGTAAACCTACCGCCAGAGGGGAAGCTGCGCCGAGGCAGAATTGTGCCGGGGGGTGGAAGCTGCCAGCTGCGGAGGCGGCTGGGGAGATGCAACGTGCGAGTACCATGGGGGCGAGATCACCAGGCACGGGAATTAAGCCTTATCGCCATAGGGCGCCAGAGGCACGATGAATGAGCCGCCAGGGACTGCTAGGCTGGACTAGAAGGCTGAATCACTCCTGCGAGAACCAGCGTCCCAGGAGCCAGCGGCGGACCAGGCCAGGGTAGTGCATGCACAGCCACAGCTGGTCAGAACGCGCGGACCTGACTGCCACTACACACTGAACCACGAAGCGGACACATTGCACGGCCAGGTGGCGGGCGCCTCCACCACTGTAGATGGGATCGAGCCACAGCGCCACTGTCGGAGAAAGAGCCAGACGCTGCCGAACCGACGGTGTCTGGGGACCAAGGTCCAGAGGAGTGCAAGTACAAGCGCCAGAGCTGATCAAGGCGCGAGGAACGAGGGAGCCACGCAAAGGCCTGTGCCAAGGAAACCACGCGAGGCCATGGCAGGGTCAGGGCAGAGGCCAGAGGGATCAAACACGGTCGAGCCGACCGGTGCCTGGGGACCAGGGCCCGGTGTGAACGCACAAGAACGGGAACTGATCAAGACGCGTGCGTTGTAGACGTCACGAAAGGGCCAGAGCCGGATGAACCACGCCAGGCCTTGGCGGGGTACGGGCAAAAACCAGGGTGAGAACAGTGCAGAAACGGCCAAAGCCGTGAGACACGGTGCGTCCCGCCCCAGCGGGTACAACGCGCCCGGTATTGGCGGCGACTGGGGGCCAGGGTGGCCGCCGCCAAGAGGACTGACAGTCGGAGGTCGACTTGATGCCGGGGTGGGCGTGAGCGTTGGCAGGCTGCGAGAACCCAAGGTGGCCGAAGCCGCAAAGTCCCACGGCAGCAGAAAGCACGAGTACGAGAAGCAGCCAAGCTGCCGCGCAGCCAAAATGGCGCGGGTCACCACGAACAAGTGCATGAAGTGGCGCCAAGTTAGGCGCACACCAAGAGCGCTGAAGAGGGTCACGAGCCCGTAGTCAGCACACCGGAAATGGCGACAGGCGAGCATCGGCACCACGGGGAAGACCCGGGACTGAAACCAGGGTTGCAACCGCAGCGTGGCAGGAGAACGGAAGTCTGAACTGAGCCACAGACGGCCGTGGGCCCCGTGTAAGGGGGGGAGAAACCGCGACTTGGGCGGAAAAGCGGGAAGCCAGTACGGTGGGGGACGACACCGCCGACCGACGGGGAGAGCGATGCCCAAGCCGAGGGGGGGGACACCCCGACCCGGCGGGCCGCCCGGAGGCGCGGGGAAGGGACGCGCCAGGAGTGAAAACAACTAAAGCAGGCCAGAGGCCGATGGGGGACAAGTGGGCCACAGGCGGTAGCCCACGAGTCAGTATTGTCAGCAGGCCACTGCCCGAGTTCCCAAGAGCGGGGAGCAGTGGGGGCTGGGCAGGGAGTGGCACCAGAGAAGGAGCACTGCCTGCAAGTCAAGCGACGGCCACAGCAAGGACTGCAGCAGACGCGTCCAATTAGGGTGAAACAAAAGGGGGGGGCAGGTGGACCACGGCCCCGACGGTGACCCACGAGCCAGTATTGTCAGCAATCCGCTGTCCCTGTCCCGAGGGCCGGGAGCAACGGGGGCTGGGCAGGGAATGGCGCCAGGGAAGGAGCACTGCCTGCAAGTCGGAAGTCAGCCACAGCGAGTGCTGTGGGAGTCGCGTCTAGGGTGATACAAGCGGGGGCCGCCGTCGGAGGTCCCCGCCCGAGCCCCCGTACATGCGCGATGTCGGAAGTCCAAACCAGGGGTGGCGAGCGACCACTGCATGCTGTCTAAGAACGAGGCAGTGAAACCTTTGGCCGAACGGGCCCCATCTTAGGTGGGAAGAGCGATAATATCGAACCGCGTTCCTTCTTAGCCTAACGGGCCCTATTTGAACTGAAGAATCAAAGGCGCAGCCACGGCGAGCCCGGCAGGCCTGAGGTCTGCACCCCATGGAGAGGATAGCTGCGGTCGGCTGCCCGCTGGGGCTTCAGGTCGGCGTCTTGTCAGGTGCGTCGGGGCAGGTTCGGTTGGGTTGCCGGCGGCGGAGCCAACGCAGTGCCAGCAAAGCGCCCGTGGTCACGATGCGGCGCGGCGGGACCCAACGGTGTGCAGGGGTTGGGGCATCATCGCCATGTACGGGAGCGCTTGTCCCCTCTCCCGTCGCTGCTATCGTCACCGCCACGTTTGCCCGCGGCCTGCCAATCGTCGCCGTCTCCGGCCTGCGACCATGACCATGAGTCCCAGACCCAGGGTTGGCGGGAGCTTGTGGCGTATCCCTTGTGCTGTGGGGCGCTGGTGCCCTGGTATCCTGACCAGTTGTCGCGCTCCCGTTCCCATCTGACCTGGAGCCCGTGTTTGCGGTCCATCTCGTAGGCATCATACCCGCAGCGCTTCCAGGCGTCAAGGAAAGCACGGCACGTGCCTTCAGGGTTCAGCGCGGGGTCGCTCTTTGGGCCGTTGGCCCCTGCTGGGTGCATGCGGGTATAGGCATGCAAGATGCTGCTGAACACTCCCCCCAGGGTCTTTTGGAGACGGGCGATCTTGGCTGAGGGTGTTTCCGCGGTCTTGTCGAGATCGACGTTGCCCAACCTTTCCTTGTACATGGGACCCCCTCCGATGGGATCGACAAGGTCATCAAAGACCCGCTTGGAGCCCCATTCGCGGGGGTTGGCTAGCGGCGGTCTCGAGCTGGCTGTTTGGGGTGGGGCCCGGGGGCCTGGGGCGGGCTGACTGGAGCTGCCTGGCTGGAAGTAACGATCGCGCCACCCCGGGGGGGAGGGGGAGCGACTGTCTGACGCTGCTGCTGGGGAGCTGCTGTTCATGGGGGGATACTGTTTGGTCGCGGCCACGAGACAAGGGTCAGGCGGCGAAAGCAAAGTCCGGGGCGCGAACGAGGCTAATTAGCTACAACAGGCGCACAGACCGGCCGGCCCACTCACGCAGCAGCCGCGAAGCTGAAGGGGAGCTGACAATGGGGGGATACTTTTTTTGGTACGCGGCTCACAGGAGACGTCCAGCGAGCGGGCTTCACGGCTGGGGCACAGAGCGATATGGGGGGGGGAGGGGGGATGGGGGGATACGCGAAGCGTGGAGAATTCAGATGACAACGATCCTCCTCTTCCTCTTCCCTCGCTTCACCTCCTCCTGTCGCTGTCAATGGCAGCCATTGGTCAGGCGACCCCTTCCTCCTCCCACACTCCTCCTCCTCTTTCTTCTGCTTCAGCCAAATCCCCCGCCCTCCTCCTCTTGCTCCTCCTCCTCCTCCTCTTCTTCTTCTTCCTACTCCTCCTCCTCCTCCTTCTCCCCCTCCTTCTGTATCCCAGATCCCCTTTCTCCACCTCGCCCCTCCTCCTCCTCCTCCTCCTCCTCTTCCTCTTCGTCCTCTTCCTCTTCAACCTCCTCCTCCTCCTCCTCCTCCTCCTCCTCCTCCCCCTCCTCCTTCTCCTCCTCCTCCTCCTCCTCCATACCCGCAAGAACATACGCGCGGGCAGGTCTCGCCCGATGCCATGGGGAAACAAAACGAAGTAGCTACGCGGCTACCACCCCCGATTCTGACCAGGCATGCCTCGTTGGAGGGACCCCCTCATCCTGCTCCTGCTCCTCATCCCCCTTGATGCCTTCCAGGCCGTCCAAAGGGAAGCAACCCAGCCCGCTCCCACAAGCCGACCTGCCCAGCGTCACCCGCCAACCCCTGCCCTCCCCACGCGTGCGCCAGCTTCCTTGAGCAAGGAAGCGCACACCCGGCCCCTTCGACCCTCAAGGTCTGGGCACCATACGCCTGGCCGACACCTCAGGGGAGGCACCACGCGCCGCCCCGACAGTTTTGCGCCGAACGCTAGAGATGTCGCCTCGCCGTTTGTTCTGAACGCGCCGAAGTAAACGAAACCTGCACCGCGGCCAACCCACGGCAAACCTTGCGTCCGCGGCGGAGCCTGCCCTAGTGGTCGAGGCGCCCTCTCAAAAAAGGAAGGCCGCGCGCCGGAACAAACGGCGCGCCGACATGTGCTGCATGAGTCCATGGACTCCAGGGCTTCCTCCTTCAGACGGAGCCAGGACGAAGATAACATCGGGTGAGGATCAATCGAGGGTCTCCGAGAATCGGCGAATCTGGAGAACGTCTCGGGCGCCGAGGCCTTCTCAGAGCGTTCTGGGCCGCTCTGAGAGCGTTCCAGAACGCTCTGGAACGGATTCATCCTCGTCAAAGCCCCGTCCGAGTGTACCCGTCGGTCGGCAGAAGTAGGCAGAACCATGAAATGGGAAGCGTTGGAAGCAGATTGGGGTCCCGCCGGCCCCGTGAAAAGAGGAAACCGGAGGGAAAACCGCTAGTCTCTTTCAGTAGGAACGATGCTCTGGAACGGATGCACCCTCGTCAAAGCCTCGTCCGTCTCCTCCTCCGCCCTCTCGGCTGCCATCACAGAAACACACATCCTTCTCGGCCGCCGCTCCGCGGCCGGCTCTATAAGCTTGGCAAAATCTTGTCCGCCTGGGCGCTGCCGCCGAGCTCGAGCTGCGAGACGTCCCCTTTGCCCGAACCTGTCCCATGGAATAACGGGGGGGAGGACGAGGAGGAGCTCCACCCACACGCGAATCCTGAGGGCGAAACCCAGAACTCCGGAGTCCCAAGCTTGCTTGGTGTACTCTGGGACGTCCCTTGCAAAAACCCGGAGCTCCAGCGTTCCGGGTTTCCGTATGGGGGGGCCTTCACAAGGAAGCGGGAGCAGAGGAGGAGGAGAGGAGGAGGAGGGAGGGAGGAGGAGGAGGAGGAGGAGGAGGAGGAGGGAGGGGGGAAGGAGGAGGAGGAGGAGGAGGAGGAGGAGGAGGAGGAGGAGGAGGAGGAGGAGGAGGAGAGGAGGAGGAGGAGGAGGAGGAGGAGGAGGAGGAGAGGAGGGAGGAGGAGGAGGAAGAGAGCAGGAGCAGAGGAGGAGGAGGAGGAGGAGGAGGAGGAGGAGGAGGAGGAGGAGGAGGAGGAGGAGGAGGAGGAGGAGGAGCAAGAAACGTAAGGAGACGGCGACGGCGAGGGACGGATGTGGGGGGGCGAAGACGATGGCGACGGTGGCGGCGGCGAGGGGCGGCGCCTGCGCCCGCGCCGGCCAGCCAGCTGTGCCGCAGCACCGCGGCGGCGGAGGGTCGCGAGGCCGGGTCGGGGCGCATGGCCGCCTGCGACGGGGAGCGGAGCGCGCAGGCGGGCGAGAGGAGGGCCGGAGCGAGCGAGCTGATACTGGTGAGGATGTTGATGGGGATGATGAAAAGGATGGGCATGAAAATGAAAAAAGTGAAGAGGATGAAGAGGATGAAGAGGATGATGGTGATGATGATGATGATGATGATGATGATGATGATGATGACAATTGCGATAATGATGACGGCGTGATGATTGTACTTGTGCTGGCAATGATGAAATCATCAACCACCATCACGATGGTCAGAAGGACGTGGCGACGAGCAGATGATGAGCTGGTGATGAGCGTGGGGGCGGGCGACGAGCAGCGTGTCGGAACCAGCGGGCGAACCCAGCGGGGGCCGCGTGCGCCCGAGCCCTCGCCGGCCACGGGAGTGGGCGGTCGCAACAGGCGCGCGCCACGGGGGCGGGTCTCCTCCTCCACATGCTCCTCCTCCGCCTCCTCCTCCTCCTCCTTCTCCTCTATCACCTAGCGCGCAGCGCATATGGCGGGCAACGTCGGTGCTTCGCCCTACTTGGCCGCGACAATTGTCGTCGCGACCGTTTTCTCTGCCGCCATGGACCGGAGGATTTTGGCAGGGCGCAAGAAGGCTCTTGAGCTGGCGAGCTCCTCCTCCTCCTCGTCCACCTCCTCCTCCTCCTCCTCGTCCACCTCCTCCTCCACCACGTGCGCAACGCGCAAGGCGGACCACGTCTGTGCTCCGCTATACTCGGCCTCTGTGCTCCGCTATACTCGACCGCGACAGTTGTCGTCTAGATTTTCGTCTCATCTACATAGGGCACGTGCCCTTCCTTGAACGCCCGAGTGGCTCGTTGGCCATGGGCCCCAGGACTTTGGCAGCGCATGCGAAGGCTCTTGAGCTGGCGAGCTCCTCCACCTCCTCCTCCTCCACCTCCTCCTCATCCACTACCACCTCCTCCTCCTCTTCGCTCGCTCGCTCGCTCCCTCTCCCCTGCCGCATCCGCGGCGCGCCCGGGGGGGGGGGGGGGGCAGACGGGGCGAGCCGTCTCCGCCTCAAAGGCCTCTGGCCTTCTGATGAACTCTCTGAGCTTTCTCCGACGTCGCAAAGGCCTTGTCCGAAGGCCAGGGGGGAGTAGGGGGGAGGAGGAGGGAGGAGGAGGAAAAGGTGGGGGAGGGAAAGGGGGGGGAGGAGGGAGTGCACGAGGCCAAGGAAGGCAAATAATTAGGCCGACCCGACCCTAATTCAATACCTGGCAAGCTCCCCACGTCCTCCCGAGAGAGCAGCAAGGGCGGGGGCGCGCCTGGCGATGCCGCAGGCGGGCCGCGGTGGCACGAGCGAGGCAGCTCGCCACCACGCGAAAGCTACCCCAGAAGCGAGCTCAGGCGATGATCCCGCCTCTTGAGCTGCTTCAAACGGGCACGCATCCTGCCTTGAAGCCGCAGAGCCCCCCTCGGAGGCGACAGGCTGGGTGCGTAGCGCAAATCATGATAAGCCTGAAAGATGAGATCAAGGAAAATCGCGCAGGCCGCAAGCTCCAGTTGAGAAGAGGCGGCCCAGGGGAAGATGGAAGCACGCTGCGGCCCCGAGAGCGTGGAAAAGGAAGCAGGAAGATGCAGGACGGCACTGGCGCTATACAGAACAACAGGGCACTCGAGATAGTGAAGAAACTTGTCGGCCCCAGGCGCCGAACAGAAAACGCAGCCACAAGTGGGCCCGCGGAACCTGGCAGAACAGCACCAGCCGTTCGAGAACGTTTTCAAAACAGAAACGATAACGCAAGAGGGAACAAGCTTGTCTAATCTTCTGAGCGCCATCAGAGCTAGGTCAAGATCACAACACCTCGCGGAGACCCCCAGCTTCTTCATCCGATACAGGAGCGGGGCCCGATATCCTTCGGGGGCAATATGGTAGAGCCATTTCGTCGTCGCCGCTTGGATCCGAGGAGTTCCAGGGGCGGGTGCTTTCGGCACGGCGCACAACTGATCATAGTTAGCGATATGGGCGTGCATGGGCGACTGCAACCACAAGGGATCCCTGTCCCACAATATTTTGCACTCGTCGCTGGCGGCTATCGCCTGGATCCGCGTCTTCGCACGGTAAAACTCTATCGAATTGAGGCGAAACGGTAAAGAGTGGCCCTCGAAACCAGATCCAGCCTTCTCATTTCGCACGGCAACCCCAGCGCCGTTAAATTCTCGAGCATGGCAGGACTAAGAGCATTCCGCAAGCCGCGCGCCAACGCTTGCCCAGCTGCACGGACAGCCTCGTGCACAGACTTGGGAGGTGAGAAGAATTGAGACACGTGCGACAAACAGCTGAAACCATTCTGATTGGATAGTGCGATACTCTTCACCAGACCCAACCCAAGATATTTAGTGTCAAGAGCTTGCCCAAGACATTTCCTGGCAGGAGCGTCCCAAGATCGCACAGACCCACCGCGCCCAAGAAAGATACCCAAGTACTTTGCCATATGCTGCGCCTTGAAGGAGGGAGGTAAACCGGCAATGGCAAGGAGGTTGCGATATTCATGTTCAGGGAGGGCGGCGAGAGGGACAATGATAGATTTCGTGACGTTGAGCTCGAGTCCAGCAGCCTGGGCAGCGCGGGCAAATACAGGAAGTGCCAAGGCCGGAGCTCGATACACGTCCTGTGAGACAAGCCCAACATCGTCAGCGCAGGCACCCAGCACCGATGGCACGCGCTGAAGACGCTGCTCAAGCATCCTTAAGATCGGATCGATGCACAGCGCGAAGAGCGAGGAGGGGAGCGGGCACCCTTGCTTGATCCCACGCTTGACCCACCATCCAGATTCTTGCGCCCCGCAGAAGGAGACAGAAACCCACGCTTGCTGATGAAGAGCGGCAGCCGCCCTGCGGATTTTCTTCGGGAACTTCATGGTTTTGAGGGCGAACGTAATCATGGAGTGGAGGAGAATAGGAAAGGCAACCTTGATATCAAACGTAACGTAACCCGTCGCCTGAAGTCCGTCCGGAACAAACCATTCCACGGCCCGAGATTCCAGAGCAACAATGTTGTTGGTGAAATTGCGCCCAGGGATAAAGCCACGTTGAAAGTCGATGCAACAACACTCCTGGAGAACACGAACGACAGGTTTATTAATAGCACGGGTGATCAACTTGTTATCCGAATTGCCACGCGTAATAGGCCTGGTCTGCTCAGGTGGACGGAAGACAGCATCCACAGCATCGCTGGGGGCATCGCCCCTGGGCAAGACAATAGCGGTGCCATGATTAAATTCATCAGGGCGTCGCCCACGAGCGAGAAGTTCCTGGTGCACTTCAAAGAGAGGTTCCATCGTGCAGGTACCGCCCCGAAGCCAGGCACTGTAAGGAATCCCGTCGGGCCCAGGACACGAGTCTCGAGCATGCTGAGCATGCTGACAAAGTTCATCGAACTCAAGTTCCCAGAGCATGAGAGGAGGCACCTGCGCGATGAAGGGTGCGAGTTCTTGCCGTCTGGCATCTTCACCTTCGACGAAGGCACGCGCCTGCCCCCAGTGCGCCGCCAGCAACTTAGCCGCAGCACTAGGTTCAGAAACCTGGAGACCCGTCGGGTCTGAAATAGCAGAGAGCGAGATCCTCCTCCTCCTTCGGCCCCAGGCACAGAGATGCGACGTGAGTCTGTTTCGAACCGCATGCTTCTGAACCATTGGCCTGTCCGGCTCCTCATTCTCCTGAATCTGCCCCTGGATCTGCTCAGTCTTGAGATCGCTCAAAAATCCGTGAAATCCATGAAAGTCAATCCAAAGGCCAGATTCCCAACAAATAAACTGCTGCAGGTCGGTAAAAGCCCCCAGAGCTTTCCGAAGAAGTTGCCCGCGCCGAAGGCTACGTAGAGCCGCCAGAGCCCAATGCACCATCTCTTCAACAGACAGAGGTCCACAAGAGCGCGAGAATTCAATAACACGTTTCGCAGCCGCCTTGATAATTGCTTTTGTCTCACAGAGAGCCAGGATAGGGCCAGGATCCCGAGGGCCAGCAGAATCAGCAATTTCATCCACAAGCTCACGATACTTGGGATGCCGAGGGACCCAGGACGGGGCACGAAACCCACTGGACGGCGAAACGCTAAGCCGAAGGAGCACAGGTGCGTGATCGGAGAGTGACCGCTCTCCCTGTGAGGCCCATAGTACACGGCTGAGCGGCTTAAAGTCGAGCAGCACGCTGCTGGGGATGTTGCAGTAAATCCGATCAAGCCGCGCCAGAGATGAAATAGCAGGCCTGGGGCCACTCGCATCCATCACGCGATGGGTGAAGTGGTGCTGGTCTACCTCGCACAGGTCGGGAAAGAGATCGGAGAAGTATGCCCCAACGGCTGTTGGTACTATAACGAATATGCCCATCAGAAGAAAACGAACCTTCCCCGTCAGCAGGAAAATTGAAATCGCCACAAAGGAACCCCGTGCTCACGTCAGCCCCCAACATGGACCTGCGAATCAACCGAAGTTCTCCTTTCTGCTGCAAAACCGTCGCCCCAGGATCAATGTGTGCGTTACATATCTGTAGAGTACCATGTATGCCGTGGAGAGAAACCAGATGCACCCGTCCAGGCACGAGAGTACGATGGCGAAGAGCGAGAAACTGCCCACGGAGCCGAGGGTGCAAAAGAATGAGACTGCCACCAGCAGAGCGATCGCAAAAGAAGGTACCCTTTCCGCTGACACCTTGGAACTCTTTCAGAATTAAATCTAAGTCGTGATAGGTCCCGCGAGCCTCCTGGATACAGACGACATCGTGGGCTTGACAAAGCCGATGCAACTGTTGGATGTTCTGCTTGAGTTTGGTGTGACTGGTGGATCGGCCCCCGAACAACGATCTGGCGTTCCAGGTGACAATGGAGAAGTCGGAACTAGGATACAACGGCGTGCGGCAACAGCGCGGAGGCAAGCCCTCCGAAGAAGCCGAAGACGAGCACGTGGAGCCCGAAGAGGAGGAAGAAGCGGAAGACGAGACGGAGGAAGAACTCGAAATAGATGCAGACCGACGCCTCTGCCCACGTTGCGTACGAGGTACGGCAGGAGCAAGACGGCACCCGCTCGGTCGATCTCCTTGGACGGACGTGTTAGGCGAGGACATTTCCTATTCAATGGCACCTCTCATGATAGCAGTGACCTGGTCCTTCTCCATCTTCAAGGACTGAAGCGCATCGAAGTCGGGGTTGAGGCTGGCAGAGGTGTCGGGGTTCTCGATGAGCGAACGCAAGACGGTGACTTCCTCGTTCTTGGTGAAGAACAGGATGCCCTTGTGCCCGTTGACGGCGAGCGAGATGTTCTGTCCGATCCCCTTGGCGGCAAAATGCTGCGAGACCCCTTGCCATACACGCCCAAGAATAATATTGCGACGCCGAACACCAGGGGTAGCATCACGACGGGCGCGGAGAGAAATGTGACCCTGGGGAGAGACGAACTGCAGGCCATGCGTTTTGAAATGCTCGAGAAACGCATTCGAATCGGTGTCGCTCTCAAGCTTCGCACAGAAGGCTTTGTTGAGATTGTGCGCAATGATCTGGGCGGGGGGCTTGATGTGCGAAGGCAGATGAGGGATGACCGTGTCCTGCATGTATTTCGTCATCACACGAGCCAACATCGGAGCATCCACCAATCCATATCTTTGTGGGGTCTGCCCCACGCTCCACACTACCAGACCCAGTGAAGCTCGCAGAGGGAGGCGGCCCAGCTGACCTACTCCGCCAACGAGGGTGAGAGGCGACAGACGATGAGCCAGAGCGAGTGCTAGCGACATCAGACTGGGACTGTGAGCCTAAGATCTTCGCCTCAAGTCGAGCAAACCGCGCCGTTTCTTGAGCGGTATTCAGACCTGATTTCACCTGCTCTTCTAGAGTATTCATGCGCTCGGTGAGCTGGACGATGTTCTCTTCACTCTTCGAAACCGACGACTGCAGACCGATGATGTCGTCCTTCGTGACCATGTTCTTTTCCATGCGCCCCATAATCGCCACAATATCAGCACCCCCCATCAGGCCCGCGCGGGCGAACCTGTCGCTGAAACTCGACGGCGTCCTCCATCGCATCGTCACTGGAAGGCGACGCACCAGCGGCGGCGGCAGAGGCAGAAGACATGGCAAGAGGTGTCCGTCCGAGCACGACACTCGGAATCGCTCCTTCAAGAGAAGCTGCCCGCCCAAATGGGACCTGCTCCCATCTTGAGCCAAAATGGCAACGGAGCAAAAGGGGGAGGAGGAGGAGGAGGAGGAGGAGGAGGAGGAGGAGGAGGAGGAAGGGAAGGAGAGGAGGAGGAGGAGGAGGAGGAGGAGGAGGAGGAGGAGGAGGAGGAGGAGGAGGAGGAGGAGGAGGAAGCTTCTGAGAAGCCCCGCCGCCCTCTGAGAAGGCCTGCCCTCTCACCTGTCCCCTCGGCTCGCCGCCGAACGTCCGCATCGGGCGCGTCTCTGCTCAGGCGCGGCTGCAAGTGAGCATCACAAGCAAGTGTCTGACGCATGCTCTTCGAGCCCCCATGCGGCTACGAGAGCAGATCGTACTTCACCGCTTTTGCCACTTGGAGGCTTTTCCAGAAGTGCCGTCGTTTCAAAACAACGATCCTTCCTGGGCCTTCTACCTCCTCCAAGTTTCGCCCGCGATCCTCAACGACGATCGACGAGCGAGGATCAAGGACTTTGGACGTCTTTGGCCCCTCCTCTGGATACCCTCTGGGGCACTTTTGGGGTACCCAGGGCCCACCAGGGTCCCTCCCACACTCCTTAGACGCTCGTCGGCCCCCCAGGAATGGCCTCCCATCAGCACCCCCAACTTTTAAGAAACCCTCAGTCTGACTTTGGCCATCTGGGGATCCTCTTGGAGCCTTCATGTGGCCTTCTTGGGGTGAATTTCGAAGATTCTCGGGCCACCTTGGGACATATGGGCATGCACTTGGGTGGTCTCGGAGGCTCCACGGATCGTGCGCACGCTAACGTGGTCTAATGATCCGTGGAGCTGGTGCGTGGGCGCCAGATCCACGGATCGGACAATTACCTCCCGAAACGTGGCGCCAGCACTGCCTTATTTGGGGATTCAGCGCGCCCATCTTGCATGGAAGCGGGGCCCGTCGCTGACCCACGCGCCTTGACAATCCGTGTTGACGTAGGAAGGGCCCTTGGCGCTGTCGTAGGCCGCCCGCAGCCCTGCCCCCACGACGGCCCACGGATCGCCCGCGGAGCCCCGAGACCCCTCCGGAAGACCCTCGGGCTCCCGCGGGGGGGTCGAGGCACCGACACTGGAGCCGCGGGGCCGGTCCCTGGGGATCAAGGCGTGCCACAATCATCGCGCTGCCCTGAGGAGCGCCGAGTGAGGAACGGAGGAGGAGGAGGAGGGAGGGAGGAGGAGGAGGAGGAGGAGGAGGCGGAGGAGGAGGAGGACGAGGAGGAGGAGGAGGAGGAGGAGGAGGAGGCGGAGGAGGAGGAGGAGGAGGAGGACACGGACAGGTTCCCCGACCTGGACTGCAGGAGCGGCTCGAAAGCCAGAGACCCCCTCTAGCGCACAACAGGGCCCTTGCTTCAGCGTCTGGGCTGCAGACGAAATCCTCTCAGACCTCCTCTAGCCGTGCGCCCACCCCTCGCCTTCACGATGCGGCTTGGCAGCACCGCCAGGGACTCGGGTACAGCGAAGCCGCCTCTCCGAATCTTCGCGTACAGCTGAACCTCCGTGCGCGCGGTGAACGGCATGCTGCCCACCTGGTGGGGTCTACTTTGACCCGGGCGCGGTGAATCATTCCCAGAAGTTGCGGGCAGCTCCCACTACATCAATTTGACGACTGTTCGCTCCTCGTTGCTCGCGCGTCGCTCAGCATGAATAGCTCAAACCCTCGATGCCCGCCCTCTTCGTCTTCGATCGTGCTCCCTTTCGGGGTATGGATTCCTTGTCTGACACGTGTAGTTGGCACGGCGCCTACGCCGACCCTGTCGGCGTGTGGGAGAGGCTTTTCCGTCCTCCCCACAGCGTCGTCGCCTCTTCTGCTTTCCGAGGGCTCCCTACACAAGTCCACGCAAAAATTGAACAACGTCGTCCTTCAGTCGAAAGGAAGCCCCTTCCCTTGACCACTTCCCCGCCGGGGGGGGGGGGATCTCGGGGCAACTCCCGGGAGGGGGGGTCCCCTCTACTCCCGCAGGGGAGGGCCCCCCTACTCCTGGCGGGGGGTCCCCCCTCGGATACGCAGCCCCCCGCCTCTCATCCTCCTGCGTCCTGGGGCTCCGTTGGCCCTCCCGGGCCGTCTGCGGGCCCTTTCAGCCTATCTTGAGGCTCCCTGGAGACCTTTCGCCATTTTTAGATTCTCTTGGCAGCCTCTGGCGGCACTCTTGACAGCCTCTGCTGGCGCTTTTGGACCTCGCTTGACGCCGTCTTGAAACCTTCTCGGGCCACTTGAGGGCGCTTTTTGCCTATCTTGGCACTCTTTGGAGCCGTTTCCGAACCCTGGAGGAGGCCTCTTGAGCTGTCTTCGGACGACCTTGCAGGTATCTGGCGCCGTCTTCGAGCCATCTGAGGGCATCTTGGACTCCTCTACCTCCATTGTCTTCGTCGTCGCTGCCTACAGGGTCGGCGGCATCGGCCGTAAGGCCTTCGCAATAGGAAGAGGAAGGAGACATGCGATCGGGAGGGAGAAAGTGAAGAAGGGAGGAGGAAACGATACGGGAGGGGGCAGGAGGGGGGGAGAGGGACGGCTGACGAGCAAAAACTTGGCAGGAGGTGGAAGAGAAAGAGAGAGAGAGAGAGAGAGAGAGAGAGAGAGAGAGAGCGAGAGAGAGAGAGAGAGGGAGGGAGCAGAAATATTGGCAAGCGGACTTCGACGGGCGGGTCGGGCGGGTGGGCCCCGACGGGCGGCCTGGGCGGGCAGGGCACCAAACGGGGCGTGCGGACCTCCACCACGCCTCACCACCGAGCGGACCCCGACGGGCAGGCGAGGCGGGCGGACCCGATGGGCGGGTCGGGCGGGCGGACCCGCCAACGGGCAGGCCGGGCGGACGACGCCCACGGCGGTGAGGGGCACGACCGCGCTCGCGTGCCCCTCCGAAAAAGAAAGTCGGGAGGGGCACGGCCGCGCGAAAGGGGGAGAGAGGGGGCCCTCGACCTCCTCCTCCCCCCTCCCCCCCCGCGCGCGCCGCTCCTCGGGCAAAAGAGCAGCGTCGGGCGGCACGCACACGCGAAGGGTGGGCGCGCGGGCGCCCACGGCAGCGAACGCGGGCGGACCCCACCGGGCGGGGGGGGTCGGGCGGGACACGGCAGCGTGCGGGCGGGCGTCCGAGAGCGAGGGAGCGGGCGGGTCGGGCGGGCAGGCACGAGCGGGTCGGACGGGCGGGGCCCGGAGGCCAACCTCGTGAAATCCCACCAGCCCTTCAGGGCGCAGGTGGCTCAGCGAGTGTTGTCTTCTCCCCCCCCCCCCCTCCCCTGCTCGGGGGAGGGGGGAGTACCACTCTTCCCTGTGAGTAAGCAACCCCTCCCCCAGGCGACCGGCAGCCAACCAGGGCGAAGGAGACCCCACCCCGCCCACCGTTTCTGCTAAACAAAGCAATGTGAAGTCCACTTTGGGGCAACATCTTGGGTCGTGATCGGGGGGGGGGCGCGAGCACTTTGTAGTGTTTTTTGACAGGGACGGCGGGGGTGCCCGCACAATACCTGCTGCGCGCAGGGCCAGCATCCCTTCCACAAAACAATACACAATGCACTTCGAGTTGAATGTGCAGGGCCAGCATACCTTTCACAAAACAATGCACAATTCACTTCGAGTCAAAATCTGGATCATGCGCGGGCACCCCGCGATCACTGATTCTTTTTTGACTGGGACGGCGGGGGTGCTGGCATATCACCTGCATTGTGCAGGCCACCCCGCTGCGATTGCGCTCTGGTTTTCGACAAGGGTGGTGTGGGCCGACACGTTTCCCGATGTGTGCTGCCACGTGCGCAGGCGCACCTGGCACGCTCTTCGCGTGCCCTGAACGTTGCGCACCTGGCACACCAGGCGTCCTGGCACGTTTGGGCCACAGGGGCGCCTGGCGCACCTGGCGCGCCTGGCGCGCCTGGCACGCATGGCGCACATCGCCACCGCGTTGCGCACATGGGGTCTGTTTTGGTTCACATTAGCTGTCCATCCAACGGCTACCACTGAACACGCTGCGTCTCGGGTGCTACTTATGTGTTGGGAGGGCGGGTGGGAATGAGCGAGACGGCTTGCGGGCGGGGAGGGTGTCTTGACCTTTTCCCCCTACCCCCTCACCTGGGCCTGGGAGGGGGGGGAACGAGCAGTTAGGGTTTCAAAATGGGCCCAAGATGGCTCCAACAGCGCCCTCGGCAGCCCAAGACGGCATCTAAGATGGCTCAAGATAGCCGACGATGGTTCAATATAGGCTCCTACCTACCTCCAACAGGCCCTAAGCTAGTCCCAAGACGGTTCCAAGAGCCAACATCCTTCAAACACCTAGAGAAAACCACTGTTATTTGCCTTCTCGCTTTTTCGCTTCCGCTGGGATTTTGAAGCCTCAAGGTGTCCTCAAGCCGGCCCAAGAGAGCCCCAAGAGGGCCCCAAGAGCGCCTTAGAGCGTTCCAAGAGCGGCCCAAGAGGGCCCCAAGACGCCTTCTTTGAGTCTCCGAGGTGGGGGCTGAATTGGGTCCCATCCTCCGTTTGAGCCATGGGGCCCAAGAAAGGCGGCGCGCCCAGGGGGAACTGAGAGGGGGCGGGAATTCTCAGAAGGCTCGGAAGTCCCCCGGCCTTCTGAGAAGTTTTCTAAGCCTTGCCCGAAGACGCAAACAACTTCTCAGAAGGCGCGAGGGCTTGTGAGAAGTCCCGCCGCCTTCTGAGAAGGCCTTCTCCTTCTCACTTCCCCCACTCGCTCGCCGCCGACAAGAGGCCTCCCAGACCCTTCCAATGAGCCCCGAATACCCTCAAAATGAGCCCCGAGAGGGCCTCAAGAATGCCCCAAAAGGCCCCACGGGGACTCGAACAGATCCCATAAGCTGACTTTTACCGTCCTTCACAAGAGCCTCTCACAAAAACATATCTCTGCAGCCCGACTTCTCATCTTCCTTGTCATCGTCCGCTCCTTCCCTCCTCCTTTCCTGCCTCTTCCCTCCTCCTCCCTCCTCCTCCTCCTCCTCCTCCTCCTCTCTTTTTCCTCCTCCTGCTCTTTCTCCTCCTGCTCCTCCTCTTCCTCCTCCTACCCCAAGGATTGTCCCAGGAGGTCGATCATGGCTCAAGATAGCCTCCAAAAGTCCTCCAGGAGGCCTCAAGGCAGCCTTATGATGGCCAAGACAGCCGAGCATGGCTCAAGATAGCCTCCGGCCGAGCATAGATCAAGATAGCCTCCAAGAGGACTCCAGTCGTGTCTGGATTGGCTGGTGAGGATACGCGAAGCGTCAATCATTGTGAAACATCATAGGCGAGAGCACGACTCCTGAGTAAATTGTCAGGTCGTCGCGTGCGAGAGCGCGAACCGGGGCGCCGGGAACGCAGCGACTGGGCAGGCTGCCACGACGTCCCCGGCAAGAGCGGGACCTCGACGTAATGCCCGCCAACCCTTCTGGCCTGGAATGGTCTCGCGGGGTTCCGCTCGCTTCCAGCCCTCCGCCCTCCCCCTCGGGGAGAGGTTCATCGCTGCTCCGTCGCAATCTGCGCCCCTTAAGTCGCCACCACCCGACCGGCGACGCAACCCCGAGGCCGCGCGGGCACCGCCCAGCCATCCCTGCCAACAACGGCGACAATGCAAAGGGCACCTTGCGGCAGAAGCCTGGGCCATGTCGGCAAACAGTGCAAAGTGCACTTTGCATTGTTTGATGCCAACAACGCAAAGTGCACTTTGCGAAAACATCTCAAGTCATGTCCGGGGGCACCACGGGCACTGTGCACTATTGTTGACAGGGCCGGGGGGGGGGGGGCCAGCCTAGTTGCAAACTGCACTTCGCGGCGAAATCTGGATCGTGCATGCGCGGGCACCCTGCGATCGCTTGAAGTTTGGTTTTCTGACACGGACGGCGAGGGTGCTGGCATGTTGCCTGCCGTGTGCATGCCCCTGTACATCGTGATGGCCACTCCGCCGCCATTGTGCATTGGCTTTCGATCTGGATGTTGGGGGCTGACGTGTTTCCCGTTGTGCGCGGGCGAACCCGGCACATTCTGCGCGTGCCTCGAACGTGGCGCACCTGGCGCGGCTGGAGCAGCTGACACACTTGGCGCACGTGGACCAGCTGGCGCGCCTGGCACGCGTACCTCGCCTTAGCGTCGCGCACCTGGGACCTGTGTTGGTTCCCAACATGTGCAGTATGGGCAGTATATATTGTGTGATGTATGCGGTGCTGTCTACGTGGAGCAATTCAATATGGTGCAGTCTGTGTGGTGCAATGTACGCGGTCCACAATCGATGTCGACCAATCGTATGTGGAGCAGCCCGTGTTGTGCAATCTATGTCGCGCAACCTTTGTTTTGCAATCTATGCTGTGCGGTCTACGTTGTGCAATCTATGCTGGGCAATCTATGCTATGCCATCCTTGTTGTGGCGAGGAGGGAGCGGCAGGGCGGCGACTGTGGCAACAAAGCGGCGGACCCGACAAACGAGCGCAGACGACGGGCGGCGACGAGGCGGCGACGGGGCGGCGACGAGGCGGCGGCGACGGCGGCAACGGCGGCAACAAGGCGGCGGATCCGATAAACGAGCCCAGATGACGGGCGGCGACGCGGCGGCGACGGCGGCAGCAAGGCGGCGGACCAGACAAGCGAGCCCGGACGACGGGCGACGAGGCGGCGACGGGGCGGCAACAAGGCGGCGGACCCGACAAACGAGCCCAAGTCATTAGAAAACAAGGCAGAAGCCCTGTGCAAACACTGCTTGGGGAATCTCGAGCACGCGTGGGCGCCCCGCCACCACTCTGCAATGGTTC